AAGTTTAATTAAAAAAAATAATTCATGCAGTTTAAATACCTTAATATATTTATATGAAATCATTTTTCATAATCAAGAAAATAATTGAAGAAATTAATTTTGATAAAAATTAACATTAATAAAGTCAAAAGTACTTTGTATTGCTATGAAAAGATTGCAAAATTAAAATGAATTTTTTAGATAGTAAACCGGATTGCCCAAATCCGCAAATATCTTGCAAACATCCCAGAAGCTGCCCAAAACAAGAAGGATATGTTAAATCTAACAAATAATAAACAGCCATCAAAATGACATTATATATACTATATATATATATATATATATATATATATATATATATATATATATATATATATATATATATATATATATATATATATATATATATATATATATATATATATATATATATATATATATATATATATATATATATATATTAACAATAGATGCCATGGGCCATGGCATCTATTGTTAATATATATATATATATATATATACATCATATTATAATATATATATATATATATATATATATATTATATACATATATATATTATATATATAGATGTAAAATATATATCATATATATATATATATATATATATATATATATATATAATATATATATATATATATATATATATATATATATATATATATATATATATATATATATATATATATATATATATATATATATATATATATATGTATATATATATAATATATATATATATATATATATATATATATATATATATATATATATATATTAACAATAGATGCCATGGGCCATGGCATGGCATTTATTGTCAGCAATCAATAATATATGTACATACAATAAATGCCATGACATGGCATTTGTTGTCAGCAATTAAAATATACCAATCAGTTATGGGCTTCAGAACCAAATATACAATAAATATATATTAATTAACAACCAAAATGCTGTTTTATAGCTAAGTTACTTAGTAAGTGGTAAATACCGTATGTAAATAAAATAAGTAAACTAAAATAGTAGAGACATTATAAACAAAAACTCTAATTTCAAAATTCCTATAGATTCGCGCTATTTTATAATGATAAAACTGTTAAATATAACGGTTAAACATAAGGGCATAAAGCTTTAAGGTTGGTTTCCATATAGTCGCACGAAAGTCGTGCGACAACTGTTGCGCAACAACTTTTGCAATATTTGTCGCACGACTCAGCTGTTTCCATTAATTTTAGAAGCGTTTTTAAAACAATAAAAACAAAGCAGTGGCTATACTCCGCATGACCTAATTGGGGAAAGGCCCAGCGATTATAGGGGCCTTTTTTGAAATTTTTAAGGGCTTATTACAAAAATCAAGGAACTTTTTCTAAGTAACACATAATAAAAGGGTATTTTCAAAATTTTTTAGCCCTAATGACATGTTTTGGGGAGAGCCTCTGATTTACTAGCCACAACACTGGTTGTAAATTCGTTCTTAATTGTAAATGCGTTCTTAATAAGTTTTTTTTTTTAATTATTAAACTAAAAAAATTTTTGTAAAAAAAAAATTATTTCTCATAATTACTTTTATTAGTTTATGCCTAAGTAAAAAGTGTATTAAAAAAATGTTAAAAATACTGATTATGTAATAAAGACTGTCATTATTTTATTTTTATAAATATTGTTGTATTATTTTATTTGTAGGATTGTAGTTTTACAAAAAATTATTTTAAAGTAAAAAGTTAAAAATGTCTACTGCATAAAACTTAAATTTTTTCTAGCCAAAAAAAATATTTTTTTCTTCAGCTTTAATTTTTTCGGAAAATATTTCACTTAACTTTAACTAACTTGATTTGTATCTCAATTTAGTAATAGCTAATATAATATTAAATATATATATATATATATATATATATATATATATATATATATATATATATATATATATATATATATATATATATATATATATATATATATGTATATATATATTATATATATATATATATATATATATATATATATATATATATATATATATATATATATATATATATATATATATATATATATATATATATATATATTATATATTTAAAAATATATATGTATATATATATATATATATATATATATATATATATATATAATTATATGAATAAATTAATTTTCAGAAATAGAAAATGATAAAAGGTTTAATCTCCTAAAATGCCAGCTTGCACTTTGGAATGCATTACTGGCACTTAGAACATTGCAAAGTAAAAAGGAAAAAAGGAAACACAAATTTTGGATACGCTCATTATTTAGAAATCGTTGCGAAAAAAGAGCATTTAAGACACCTATTCCTGAGCTACGCCTTCATGATAGAGAATTTTTTTATAGATTTTACAGAATGTCTCCTGAAAGGTATGAACACTTGCTGTCAATGGTTGCACCTAGCATAACAAAAAAATCTTGTCGAAGCCGTCAAACTATATCACCTTCAGAACGTTTGACTGTGACCCTGAGATATTTGGCCTCCATATATTCGCACGACAGGTTGACATTACATATTATTGTAAATCTATTTGTGCAACAATAAAGAGATATGACCCTTAGATATATGGTTTCCATATATCTAAAATGGTCGTACGACAGTCTTGCGACTGTCGCAAGACAATATGGAAACATAAGTCGTGCGACAAGTTTTATCTTGCAAGACTGTTTTATAGTCGTGCCATAGGTGTCGCAGAGATAAAAAAAATCTCTACGACAATTGTCGCACGACCCTACAATGCGATTGGTTGAATATTAAGGCCGTTTTCCACAAGACGAAATATTCGCGCGAAGCGAATTTTTTTGTCGTCAAGCATGCGCAGATTAAACATTTTTCGCTACAGCGTTTCGCTGCAGCGAAAAAAAAGTCGGATTCATTTCGACTTTTTGCGAATCGCCATAAGCGAAAACCAATCAAGTTTTGAATATTATATCACGTGGTCTCAACATTAAAAAAAGCGAAAACATGTTTTTAAAGAAACAAAAAACAAAATTCTTAACCTAGCGTTCTTATTAATTTTATTTGAACTTACTCTTAAAATTGGCAAGCATGAGTATATTCATCAAACAAGGGGCAAGACTCGCATAAAAAAATGACCAGATTTATATAGAAAACTAAATTGAGAATTTACAAATATTGAGAATTTACAAATTTTCACACTGTCAATAACAAAAAATACACTTCATAAAATGTTTATCTTCAAGTGGCCACACGAAGATAAACCATTTTGTGAAAAATTCTAAATAGAGTTAAACCTGCTGTTCCTTCTTGTGGTAACAGTTTTTTAATCGAAATGTTCATATCAGAGTTTAGCATTTATTTTCTTATACTTTTTGTAAAAAAAACCTTATATTAAATGATTGTATTACAAAATAATATAACATCTTACATATAAAGGCAGAAATGTTAATATCAATGCATGGAAAGAAATTTTCACATGCTTCAAAGTAGAAAGTATGCTAAAAAAGTAATAAATTCTTTTAGTAAAACATACGGCGTAAACTTATTGCTGCCATTTTTATTGTTGACAACGAAAAAAAAAGTAGCGCGAAAGAAAGTAATTGGAAATCAAAACAGCGTTTCCGTAATAGCGAAAAAATTCGCTTTGCGCGAATATTTCGTCTTGTGGAAAACGGCCTTTAGAAAACAAAAAATTAATTAAAACAAAAAAAAATTCACATTGAAATAAAATGGAAAATAATCAGGAAAGATTTACAAAAGAATTTAGTTAAGAGAGTTTCATGCAGGAAGTACAGAAATATCCTGTACTGTATGACAAATTCGATACAGAATTTAAGAACAATGTTATTTAAAAAAATGCTCGGGCAGCAATAGGAGTTTCGTTTGGTTTAACTGACCAAGAGTGTGAATCGAAATACACAAACATTAAGTCGGCTTATGGTCGCTTTTTGAGGAAAAAAAAAAAGTACACCTTCAGGATCAGGACGAATCAATATCAGCAAAGAGTACGATTTTTTGCAATGGTTAAATGTGTACATTGATCATAGAGATACGACGGCGAATCTTGGAGATAAAACAGCAATAGAGATTCAAAACAACAATAACAGAGATATAATAAAAAATGTTGAAGAATTACCTTTGTCATGTATAAGTGATGAAAATATAAATTATGATGAAGAATTTAGTAATCAGGAAGAATTAGAAAAAGAAACTTTAAATGATAATACAAGTGTGTAAACTTTGTCTAATACATGTAGGTCAAATACATCTAGTAATCAACAAAAATCTTTAAATGAAATAACATCTCCAATGAATATAAGAAAAAAGAACTTAAAAAGATCTAATGAAAATACAAAACTAGAAGGTGCAATACTCACTACTATGAGCAATATTAATGCAACATTAGGAGTTAGTGCACTTGAAGAAAATAATGACATTACATATTTTTGTAAATCTATTTGTGCAACAATAAAGAGATTACCTTCTAAAACCCATG